GCAGAGAAAGAAGGGAGGAGCCAGGGAGGAAGATGAACCCTTCCAAGCCATGTGCCCAGTGACCAGACCCCTCTCCTACCAGCACAGTGGGCCAGGTACCGTCAGTGGGTTTAATCCACTATTGAGCACAGTGCCCCTCAGCATCCAACCACCCCCAAGCACCCCACTTCTGAGTGCGTGAGAGGTTTGGAGGTCATTCTTGATCTAAATCCTGACACATTCTGCATAGGTTTAGATTGTGGGCATACCAAACCGACCGAGACAGGTGTGAGTGTGGGAAAGAGGCAGGAAGTGGTACCTAAAATAATGAGCAGCCTCATGGGGACTGAAATAAGTGTCAGGTCCTGACTTAAAGCCTGCGCTTGAAGCAACTTGACTGTCACTTGCCCCTCACTGGTCAGGTTTTGATCTCAGTCTGTAAGAAGTTGGTTTACTACAGTCTCTGCAGCAGACCATTTGAAGCTGCTCCTCAGTGCTAGCATCACTATCTCAGCTCCACCCCAGGTCATCAGAGATGCAGCTTTGCTTGTTCACCACCTGCTGTGCAGTCAGGTTCTTAACAGGTCACAGACCAAGGTTGGAGACTCTTGCACTAAGTGGAAGGTGCCAGATTAAAAAGGCTACCCACCCCTGATTCCATTTATACAACACTTTGGAAAAGGGAAGACTATAAGAATAGGAAATAGGTCTGATGGCTGGGACAGAGGAATGGTGTTAACACAGCAGCCTGTACTTGTCAAACTCAAACAACTGACAGCAAAGAATAAGGGAAAATGGTCCAACTCAAATATATCTCAGTGAAAGAAATACTTGTTTTGTGATCAGTTTGAAAACCAGTCTACTAACCAGGCCTCTTCCCATGGAAGTACTCTGCACTCCTTTGATGTAAAAATGCTGATGCAGGCTCTGCACCAAGGAGTCTGGGGCCCCAGAGTGGCAGAGAGGCCTGTGACGGGTGTGTTGATCCCCTTGCTTCCCATGGGGTCACCCGTTCTGCCCGACTCCTCCAGGAAGCTCTGGGGTCTGCTCCGCGCCTGTGATCCTGGCTGGCTCGGGCCTTGCTTTGTCCATGCCGGGCCAGCAGTGTGCACTTTCTCCTCCACCCTCTTGGACAGTGGCCCTGAGAGTGTCACATAGGGAAGCCGGTCCCAGCTCCTGACGATGAAGGCCAGGTGTGGGGACCTCAGGCCATAGGCTTCCCGCTCTGTCTCCCTGCACCACCTGCCCTCTCTCCGGCCAGTGCTGCAGCCGCCCAGAGCTCCCGGCTGACGTTTGCCTCAGGTGCACGGTCTGCCCTGCCCTTGGCACACGTCCGTCATTCTCATGCTATTTCAGCGCAGCCTCGCCCAGCTCTTGGCTAAGCCTAGCTTCTCTGGGCCGCAGGGATGCGTCCACACCTGCGCCAATGTCTAGCAGGAGCCACTGTGAGGGTCACACCGCAGCTGTGCACGAGGGACCTGACTCAGTCCTGGGAGGAGCCCTTTGCGTTGGAGGCGGCTGCTCTGGGCCTGACTCTATCATGCTACGCACAGAGTTGCACGCGTGCACACTACAGTCTGGCTCCGTGTGCGTGCGTGTGCGTGTGCCTGTCTGTGTATGTGCGTAGGGGGAGCAGGCTGAGGTAGGAGAGAAGGAAGAAAGGTAGAAAAAGAGACAAGGAAACTTGGAGTAGTAAAATTGTACCTTTTAAGAAAAACAGAAGCTTCAGGACACAAAAGTTATTCAGGCTTAGTTTCCCTCCCAGGAGAAATTCCTGAAGGCCCCACACTACAGCGCAGAACACTGGGCTCCGGGCCTGGGCCTCTCACCTATGGGCTCCGCTCCCCCAACCCTGTCCTCAGGGAGCCGCTGCCCGGGAACAGCAGGGTGAAGCTGCCACACAGGCGCACAGCTTGCATGGAGACACAGCCGAGCAGCTGTGGGACCCTGGTGGCACATCCTTGCTAACCCATGTAGGGGCCGAGGCCCCATAAGCAGACCCAGCGCCTGGCCCCTCTCCCTTCTGAGGCCCCTACCCAACTTCCCTAAGTGCACACGGTACTTTCAAGTTCGGCCCGATAAGCCCCTTTGCGCCTCTCACTGATGCATCCTGAAAATTACATTTCTGTGATAAAAGTCGGGGAACCTGGGAGCCACACCCCAAGTGGATGAAGCAAGGCTCCCAGCTCCGCCTTAGAGACCTCCTCCAACCCTCTGGGGACAAGGCCAGCTCTGAAGAGTCAACGTGCCCATCTCTTCCCAACCCCACACGCTGGGATGGGGCCCCTATAAACACGCAGCAAACTCTGTGAATTAGTTCCTGCTCCCCGCCCCGGGCACGCACCAGGCTCCCCCGATGGGGCCCAGCAGCTGGCGGCACACAGGCCACCCGCCGGTCCCATTAAGGTGGCCGGAGCACCAGGAGCTGGACAGCAGTGCCAGCCCCTGCCCCTGGAAGGAGGCCTGAGGGCACCGAGCACAATGCAAGGCTTTGAGCCATTTGGGCGGGGTTAGCGAGTTGGGGGCGCTGCAGGGAAGTGGCACATCCCGCTGCAGCCGGCACCCTCTGCCGGGCTCTCCTTGTTCTCGCTCAGATATCACCCAGAGACGACGAAAGAGAAAAGAGCCCTGCATTTCCACCAGCCCGCTTTCCTCCTCAGCGAGCACCGCTGACTTTTCAAAGGCGATCTTGTCGCAGCCACGGCTGCTTGCTGTACCCCCGGCAGAGGGAGCTGCCCCGTCCTCAGATCGAAATCCTCAGAATTAACATTCCTCGCGCCTCCCCACAGGCAGGGAAGGAGCACAAAGGCTAATCCACTTGGTTCAGGGAAGTCTTGTGGTTTATAAACAAGCTCTTTGTTTTGCGGGGAAGGGTGCTGGCAGCGCATGGAGGTGCAGCCTGGGAGTGTGACCTGCCCGGCTTGCGGGGAACCTTGGTTACTGAGATGGGTGGACTCCAGGGCAGGGGCTAGGTGGTCGGTCCCCACTGTGCCAGGACCCACTGTGTGTCCCCCATCCACCCGTGCAGCCTCCCCCACCTGCCCACCCTACACAGCGTCCAGTCTGTCCACCCTAGGCAAGTTTCCCTGGCTAGCACCAACTCGCCTCCTGCTTCTTCTGGGGCCAGAGGTGTCTTCGACTCCAGAGCCACCCAACCCCACCTGTGCTCACCTGTACACTTCAGGCGGCGGCTTCGTTGTTCACAAGACACGAGATGCTAAATCATCCAGCAACCGTGAGGGCCACCTGGCCCAGCAGCTGGGGGCTGGGAAGCGAGGCCCCAGTACAGATGCCGTGACGGGTGCGCCAGGCACAGAGCACTGGGGACATCGCCTCTGACCATAACCTGCCTGCACTGGCCAGGAGGTGGCCGGGCCGCACACGCCTTTCACGCCCCTGTGGCACGCACGTGTGCACTTCAGATCGGAAAGAGGACACGGAGTTCAAATGGACTTTTAAAAACTCTATGAAATCAGAACAACGAATCTGAAGACAACAATAGGCAATATAACAACCATTGTTGAATTCCTACCGTCTTGTCTCTGTATTGTTTCTAATGTTTTTTATTACTTACTATTGTCTTTCATTGTTTGATCAATCTTGCTTTCTTATATCTGGTAATCTGAGCAACTTCACTGAAGATGACAATATGTAATATAACAGCCATTGTTAATTCCTATCATCTTGTTTTGAAATCCTGTATCGTTTTTATTGTTTTCGTGTTGTTTTGTTTTTGTCTTCATTGTTGTTATTATGTTATTTTTTTTCTCTTTAAAATTTAAAAAAAAAAAAAAGCTCTATGAATGAACCTTCTGTTGCCGAAGGTGTTTTTGAGCCACAGTGGTGAGGGAGGGAGAAGCGGCGCTCAGTCTTGGTCTCTTAAAGGGATTAACTTCTGTGAACACTCTCTCTAACGTCTTTCATTGTTCTTAATGGGAACGGCCATGCTGCGTGAGATGTGTGTGGTACACAGTACCAGGCAGACAGCAGCCGCCCTAACGTAGCTCTCCTTAGCACTTGGATAGTTTCCCCATTCTCTCTTCTCTGCATATTTTTATTCTTATTATTTACGTTGGCTTTTTGAGACAGGGTCTTGCTATGGAGCCCAGGTTGGCCTTAACTCATGGTGACCCACCTGCCTCAGCCTCCCCAATGCTGAGCTTACAGGCGTGCAGCACCGTGCCTAGCTTTCTCTGTATATTTTTAAACATAATTGTTTAAAATTTCATCTCCACTTTATACACATTTGAACCCTACTTCCCTTCTCTCCACTTACGGGTCTGGAAAAATATCCAGATGGACCGTACCCCACAGTCCTGTGGCCGCATTTACCCTGCTGGTCCCGGACCCACTCTTCTCTACTTCCTTGCAGCGCTATTTCCTTTGGGTAGAGAGCGCCACAGAGTGGAACAACTGCAGGAAAACTTTTCCAAGCTGAGAGTTGAAAATCTCCCTCTCCCTCTCCCTCTCCCTCTCCCTCTCCCTCTCCCTCTCCCTCTCCCTCTCCCTCTCTCTCTCTCTCTCTGTCTCACACACACACACACACACACACACACACACACACACACACACACACAGTCCCCGGGGAAAGTGCCTGGGCTGCTCCGGAGTTCTTTGTCTGTGCAAGGCTGGCGGACCTTGCTGCTGTGTGTCTGTCCCCGAGCTACAGGGACTGTGCTTAGAGGAAAATTTGCAAAACAAACAAACAAAAAACGTGCAGAACAGAGTGATTCCCCTTTCCCTCCTGTGGTTCCAAACACAAACTTTCCCCCCAAACTAATCATAAAAAAAAAGAAAGAAAAGAAAGGGAGGAAGGAAGGAAGGAAGGAAGGAAAGAAAAAGAAAGAATGAAAGAAAGAAAGAAAGAAAGAAAGAAAGAAAGAAAGAAAGAAAGAAAAAGAAAAAAAGAAGAAATGGCTCAGGATCCTTTCACCCCGCATTTCAAGCCTGCCCGGCCCGGGTTGGTCCCAGGGTGGCGACCCGGTGCTGCCGGGCGCCCCGCACCTGCGCGCCGCACTCACCGCCGCCGTACATCTGGCACAGGTAGGGGAAGCGCCACACGTTGCCCAGGCCCACGGCGTAGGAGATGCAGGCGAACACGAACTGCAGGGGGTTCCCCCACTGCGCCCGCGTCTTCTCCATGGCCCGGAGTCTGTCGCGGTCCCGTACCTCGACGCGCCGGATCCGCCCGCCGCCTTTAATGCTCTGCTCCGGGCGCACCGGGAGGGCGAGGCGGGCGTGAGGACTGAACTCCGCCCGGTCCGCCGCCTCCAGGAAGCCACCGGGATTGCAGGTGGGGCCGCCGCAGCCCACTGCCGCTGGGACACCGCCTCCCGGGAGCGCCAGCACAGACAGAGGACCACACGTCTCAGCTGTGTTTGACCTTGGGTGGAGGGGCAAGGTCATACTGCCCCTCGCATCCAAACAGGCCCTCAATCGAATATACGGTGGTTTAAATCCTCAGTTATTACAGTGAGAGACACAGTCCAAGCACTCCCCCCAGATCCTCCCCCTGCTTTGCACACACTCAGCCCATCCTCGCAGCGTTCTGCAGCAGCGCCGGGGTCCTCACTCCTCGAGTTGCGCGGTCCTGGCTGCCTCAATGTCCTGAATTGGTTCAAAACATTGACTTTGATCACTTCATGGCCATTTTGATGCTGGGAAGAGCCAGAAGTAACAGGATGCCAGACCCGGTGACTAAGGGGGGCGAGGACCCAGCGTCGTGTTTTTATGAGCTGCCTTTCCCTTGGATGGAGCGCGGCTGCAGCAGTCACCACATTTTTGATCACAGCTTGTAAAAACACCTGTGAAAGAAGACTTTTCAAGTTGCTTCAGAAAGGGGCAAGGGCTACGGGATGAGTGTGTTTGGAGCGAGGTGGTCTTCGGAGGAGAATTAATGGCAATATGTCTTTTACTGTAATAAACTTTTTAAAATGTCAACATTTGTGGTATATTCGGATCATGCCTGTTATCTCAAACCGAGACGCCCAAAGAGAAACTAAGGCAAAGGCGCCGGCAGTTAGTTCCCAGAGGTGGGCAGAGCGGGCTTCCTGGAGGCGGTGACTGGCGTTTGGGGAAGATCAGCGGTCAGCGCAGAGCTTTCCCCTCTCCCAGGAGGAACAGGGATGTGCTGGGGCCCCCAGCGTCCCTCGGTCAGCTCGCCGGGCTGCAGGCAGGGAGGGAGCCAGCTCAGACAGCTGCGGTAGGTACACAGCGCCAGGCCAGGGTGGGCCTGACCAGGGGGGTTAGGTCGGGGTGAGACAGGAAGCCGCCGACTCCTCCAGTCCCGCGGGCTGACGTGGTTGAAGCCTGGTGCTCCTGACTTGGCTAATTCAGCTGTGTGACGCAGGGAAGCCGCTCAGCCTCTCTGAGCCTGTTCCTCCTCCGTCGTGAGGAACACGGGCTCAGCCACCACCCTCCTGCAGGGAGGGGCTCCGGTGGAGACGAACAGAGAACATCACCTCCCTCCCACGCAGAGTGACAGCTCCGAAGCAAGGCCACTGTTGCTGTGGACCTCAGCGAGCAAGATGAAGGGATCTGTCGGTGGCCACACGGCGGCGGGCGAGGGAACACGAGTCTTGGGCTTGGAAGAGCGCTCGGTACCGAGGAACAGAGAAGAAAATGCTCAGTAAACAAACACAGTTGAGAAGCAGAGGCCGAGCGGCTGGCGGAGCTCTTCCTTGGAGATGGAAGGAGACGGCCCTTCACGTCCCTGGGGTCCCGGCCAGCAGGTCAGGCTGTGCAGACCATCGTCCTGTGTCCCGTGCTGGGCAGCGAAGGGGCAGGGCCCACGGCGCGGCAGGAGGACCAGAACCCGCGTCCGGGTTTCCGCTGAGCTTCCAGGCCCCTTCCCACCTTGCCTTCTCCACGGAGCAGAACCGCGCCTTCTTCCCATGGCCTGGGCGGCCCGCGGTGCCCTGTGGCCTTGACCTCAGGGCTCCCCGGCACTCCTAAGGCGGGCAGGGCTGCGCCGACCGATGCTGGTGGGACTGCAGCGTCCAGGCCCATGGGACGGGCTGTCGGGAGCTGCTGCCCCCAGGCGGGCGGCCCACTCCCCGCTTCCCAGAACTCCTGGCTGGGCTGCGGGAGGTGCCGTTCCCTTCGCAGACCTCGCCCGACTGCCACCCACCCGAGGTGGCAGGACCACGTCACCTGCCCGTGGCTTTCAGTGCCGCCCCAAGCCAGTGCGCGTCATGGTTGCTGACATCCTTCCCGGTCCTGTGGTGTGTGTGACGGTGAAGAGGACCCGGATCTCCAGGACCGGACCGGACTGGGCCGGATGCATAGCTTTGCTCTGTGCACCGGGCCTCAAGGGCGGGTGCAGGCCCCTTGGTGGGTGTTGCTGTGCTCTGCTGCCCGCTCCTCCTGACTGGTGGCTCTGCCTAGGTCCTGGTGTGGCCCGTGTGGTGTGGTGTGTGACAGATTTGTCTCTGTCCCCAGGCTGCTGTTCTGGTCTGTCCGTGTCTTCTAATAAAGATAGATTCAGAACTTTGGCAAAGTCCAGTTTATCAAGTGTGTCCTTTCAGGTCTCTTTGGAATGTTTTTCTTATGCCCTGTTTAAAAGTTCTCTCTCTCATCCACCCCGGGAGCCTGTCCTCCTGTGTGTCTGTGTGTGCCTGCGTGCGTGCATGTGTGTGTGTGTGTGTGTGTGTGTGTGTGTGTGTGTGTGTGTGGTCGGCAGCAGGAAGACTCCCTGACCACCCCGCAGCAGGACCAAGGCCTCCCTGCCACGCGATGGCCCCAGCGTAAGGCCAGGCCGCCCACACCGCTGGGCTTCGACCAGGCAGGACGCATCGCGAAGGATGCAAAAAGTGCATCTCCCACTGCCGACCTTCCATGTCCCGCGTGAACCTGCAACACGCGACCCCAGGCTCACTGTAGTCCCTGTTCCCTGGCTGCTGAGGAAAGTGTCCTGCCTGCCTGTCCTTGGAACCCTGGTCTTTTGCACTTGGCTCTCACAAGGAAAAGGAGCCGCTGACTCCACAGAAGGGTGTGGCTTCCTGGGACTGAGCTGCCGTGGCCAGCAAGGGTCAGCTACTGCTTTCTGCAGCAAGGACTCTAATTTGTATGCTGCCAGAGGCTGCGGCTGAAGCCCCACCCTGGCCGGATGTGGCTGCGTGTGGGGGATACACAGTAGCAACGTAGGTTACATCCCCACTGCGCAGGTGCAAGAGACAGGCAGCCTGGAGAGCGTAGATGACGGTGATTGATTAGAAGTGATGCCGAGTCCCTTTGAATAATACTCCTATGAGTATTTATTACATCTGTTTAAAAAATGCATGCAATCTCTAGTTTATATCTCTTTCTTGGGTGGGGATGGTACTGGGGATTGAACCCAGGGCACTCACACTGAGCCGCATCCCTTGCCTTTCGTAGTTTTTACTTTGGGGTAGGGTCTCACTAAGGTCCTAAGTCGCCCAAGCTGGAATCAAACTGGCAATCCTCCTGCTTCAGCCTCCCAGAGTGCTGGGGTGACAGGCAAGTCCCACGCTGTGTGGCTCCCACTTTCCCACAAGATAAAGTCCAAACTTGTTAGCTCTGCTGTGAGCCCGTGCAGATTATTTTATTGGGCCTTGTCCACGTGAGTCCCGGAGCCTGCCCTCTCCTTCAGGAAAACGTGTGTGTGTCTGTGCTCCCGGGCCACTCCCGCTTCCCGTCCCAAGCGCTGGCTTCAGAGGTGGCTTCCATTGCCACGACGCGGCATTGCCCAGCGGTGCTGGGTCCCTCAGGCTGTGGCCGGAGCGAGTCGGCGGCTCCCTTCCCCCGAGGCCCGGGACCCTGTTGAGTTGGTTCTAGCTCACGCTTGCTGTTCACAGCCACGTTTCAGAACACGTCGGTGGATCTGGTCTTTATTGCCTCTGCTCCCTGTGCCGGGAGGCGGCAACGTCAGGGGCGGAGGCGGGACCTGGGACTCGACTGCTCCCCCTCCGGCTCACCTTCCGCTGGGAGCACAGGACACAGGGCAGGAGTGTGTGTATCGCAGCGGGGGTGGGGTAGGGTGGGAGATGAGGGTCCTCTTGAGAGCCTGGAGGGGCAGGGTGTGCGCATCGGTCAACTCAGTGCGCATGTCCTTGCATGGTGCACACGCGTGTGTGTGTGTGTGTGTGTGTGTGTGTGTGTGTGTAGCTAGGAGTCTCTGTCCCTTTCCCTGAGACCTGTTGCTCTCTGGCTCCCTGGGGTGTCACAGCTGCTTCGGAGCCCCTAGGTTCACAAACCCCCGGGTCTTATCAAAGTGCAGGTCCTGGCTTGTGGGTCCTGCAGTCCCTGCCAGGTCCTACACACCGGGCAGTGGACCTCACCCGCTCCCGTGCCCACAGAGAGGTCAGCATTTCCACAGTGGGTCTGTGGGATGCTGCCCAGGGTGGGACGGGTGGCTCGGGCATTTATATACTGCAGACTGGATTTGGCGGAAGGCCGAGGTCCCTGTCACAGCAGGGCTGGTCCTTCTGTGCGGTGATGAGGACCTGGAGGCTGATAGCCGCTGGCCGCGTGATTTGAAATGCATTGCAGTGAAGTCGGATCTAAAGCCCAGCCCCTTCCTGCGCTGAGCCCACTGGAGGAGCAGGAAGCCCTGTGTGGCCAGCGGCTGCCGTGTGGGAACAGGGCAGACACAGAACATGTTCACTGTTACAGGGTCCCGTGGCACAGACGGGGAGACTCGGTGTCCTGTCCCTGGGGCTGGACAGCGGCTCGGGGCAGTGCTGTCCCTGTGTCCCCACACGAGGGCTTGCTTGCCTCATCCTTAGGGCACCGACCGGGGTGTCCCGGGCCCCTCCAGGGCTGCAGCTCCTTGTCCTCTGCCAGTGAGGGCAGATGTGTCCAGATGTGCCGAAGGGGCCTCCGTCCCCTGCAGCTGCTCCCGCGGGAGGAGGGTCTCCAGGTCTCTCTTCTGCACCCCGCGGCCCCTGTGTCTCTCCCTGCCTTTCTGCACTGAGCCCAGAATCCGCCCTCCCTGTGCGGCTCTGGTGCCGACCCTCCCCGTGTCCCCCGTCCCTCCCTCTCGGGCCTGGGCCTCATGCTTGGCCGGTTCCGCCTCGCTCCCTCCCAGCCACCTCTGCCCTGCTCCGCGCATCATTCCTGAGCGTGTGCCAGCCAGGCTGCGGCACCTGTGCCCGCCCTGGCAGCTGTAGGACGGGGTCGCATCCTTTGCGGCGGGGCCAGGCCCCATGGGCCTCTTGCTCCTCGCACCCCCGCCTCAGGCTGGGGTGCGGCCTGTGGTCCCAGACCAGGTTCCGCTCTCTGTACTTCAACCCTTGTCCCCATGGCCCTCATCGCAGCGGTGACCACCAGAGGCTGTGAAGGCCACGGAGAGCTGAAGGGGCCCCCGTGCCCGCTCTTCCTGTGTCCTCCCACGCCCGGGCCTACGACCGGACAGCGCGTCGTGAGGGTCTCCGCATTGGTGGTGACTGAGCTCTGGGAGGTGATAGCTGCATATCGATACCTTGTAGCTACGTCCCTCTTCCCTTGTTACTTTCAAAATGAGACACAGTCAGAAAACTGTGCAGAGAAAATCCTTACATCAACACATGATTTCCCTCAGCTCAAGAGAGAGATTGTCAGCTGCCACACGCATGCACACACGCACACACACACACACACGCGTATAACCCTTTTGTTGTTGTTTGTTTTTTTGTTTTTGTTTTTTTCTTCCGGTACCGGGAATCGAACTCAGGACCTTGTGCTTGCCAGGCAGGCGCTGTGCCGCTGAGCTAAATCCCCAGCCCCACGTATAACCCTTTTGGATGGCAGCCCTCCCTGCAAGGGTTCCCTCTGAGGACCGCCCTGCCCTGCTTTCCGGCTGGTTTCCCTTCCCGTGAACCCCACACCCCCGTGCCTGGACTCTGCTCCAGGAAGGTGCAGCCGCTGTTCCTCGGTGTCAGACCGACTTCTGCTTCCCATGAGGTTTCGCTTTTGTTCTTCCATCTTTCATCCAACTTGGTCTTGTAGCTAAAGTGTTGGGTTCCTATTACATTACTTATATGAGTATAATTACAAATTATGCACTTTACTATTGATGAACATCAGATTATGGACAGCTTTGGCTATTAGGGGGCCTGCTGCTAGAACATCTAGCCCTGCGCCCTGCGTGAGAGTAAGCACTTCTCTGAGTGCACACGGAATCCATCCTGTGCTATGGAGTTTCCACTCTGGTGGGTCAAGTCATACGTGTGCACACTCACAGTCATGTGTATGTGTGTGTATCAATACACCCGCAGCAGCCTGGGAATTCTGCTTGCTTTATATTCTTGCACAGCCTGATGAAGGAAAAAAAAGGAGAAACAAGCTATTAACAATTCAGAATAGAGGGACATGGTGATGTTTGCCTATAATCCAGCCCTCTGGGAGGCTGAGGCAGGAGGATAAAGTTTCAGCCCATCCTGGGTCAATTTAGCAACTTGAGGAGACCCAGTCTCAAAATAAAAAAATTTTAAAAAAGGCTGAGGACATAGCTCAATGTGAAGGTGCTGGATTTAATCTGCAGTACTGAAAACACACACACACACACACACACACACACACACACACACACACGCACAAGTTGATAATACTAAACTGGGACTGTTGGTGCACGCCTGTAATCCCAAAATCTGGGAGGCTGAGGCAAGAGGATCACTGTGAGTTTCAGGTCAGCCTGGGTTACATAGTGAGTTCAAGGCCAACCTGGACTACATAGCCAGACCCTGTCTCAAAAACAAAAAAACACCCCCCAAGTTGATATGCTATTCATAAGAGATAATACCAAATACAACACCATAGAAAAATGTGCAGTGAAATTGTGAAAAAGATCTACCAGGAAAGTACTATCCACCATAAAGCTAGGGAGAGTTATATCACATCAGACAAAATAGATTTTAAACCAAAAAATGTCCCTAGTGAAAGAAAGGACATCATTCACCAGAAAGATATAATATTTCAAAAATCAATACAATAAATAAAAGAGCTTAGAAAAATGAGAAAAGGGCCAGGGATATGACTCAGTGGCACAGTGCCTGTCTGGCGAGTGTAAGGTCTTGAGTTTGATTCCTGGTACCAAAAAAAAAAAAAAAAAAAAAGAGGAAGAAGAAGAAGAAAAAGTTGATGGAGAAACTGACATTTCTGCCACCTTGAAGGAGATTTCTGCGCTCCCCTCTCAGTCCTGATTATAAGGCAGAAAATAAAAGAACAGAACGGAGACTGACAAGGTAGATGATCAGAGTGTGCACTAGACAGAGCTGCTAGAAATGAAACACCGATAATGGAAACTCAAAACAGTGGACTTGCTTGGAAGTGGGTTACAGTGAGCCAGACCAATGTGATGAGCTCCAGGACATGGGAGAAAAAGTCGCAGGAAAGAAAGTGCAAAGAAGCAGAAACCTCGAAGGCCGGGCCACCACGCGGTCGGGAGACGCTGAAATAGCCTCAGGAGGCTGTGCCTTCCCGTACACACTGGTGGCGCCCAGGGCTTCCGAGACGCAGCGGGAGAGGACAGGAAATGCAGCCGCGTCCTTTGTTCAGCGCCCACCGTGGGAGGACGCGGTGCAGAGAGACGGTGGCCGCGCCACTTCCTGTGAGCCGAGGCTCGGCTCTGCTCGCGGCAGCATCGTTGAGCAGGCAGGGGAGCGGCGCATCTTTCAGGTCGGCCCGCAGATGCAGAAGGGAGCTCAGGGCGGACCCGCGGCTTCGCCTCCGGGCGGGCGGCCTCACTGCGCCTCGCCGTGCTCCTGGGAACAGGGCCCGGGCGCAGCCGGGAAGCCGCCCGCTTCCGGCTGGTCTTGGCTGCACGCATTCCTTCCCCTCGCATATTTGTGCTGGGAACAAGAATCTGAGGGCTAATCCGCAGGAGAGACAGTGGGCGTGCTGTGAAAATATTTCCCCGGCTCAGCGTGTGCGTGGGGCCCTGGCCCCCCTCTGCGACCCCGGGAGCCTGCCTGGCCCTGCCGGGCTGCTCCACCCTTGTTCCCTGCTTCACGCCAGGGGAGGGCTTTGTCCTCCGGGTCCGGGGGTCCGAGCGTGTTTGGCTCCTCTCACCTCTTCGCCCTCAAAATGTGGGCTATGGCCGAGCGCCACGGGCCGCACGGGGAGTTGTGAGAAATGTACGCTAAGGCTGGACTTTAAAAAGATTAAAAAACAAAACAAAACAAAACAAAATGGGGGGTGGTGGTGCACATGTGTCATCCCAGCACTGCGGGAAGCTGAGGCAGCAGGACTGAAAATTGGAGCTCAGCCTGGGCAATGGAGCGACTCAGTGAGGTTTTGTTTCAAATGCGAAAGGGCTGGGGCTGTACTCAGTGTGAAGGCCCTGGGCTCAAGCCCAGTCCTGGGGGCGTGGAGCCCCCGTGGCTTCCTAGGGCTGCGTGCGAATAGCTCAAGGACACCCTGGCTTTTCTAACCCACTGCACGCCAGGTCTCTTGGGGGCTTTGAAACCCAGACGCACACGGCCCCCACGAGGTGCTGGGCGCGGGAACGGGCCAAATGCTTGGCTGTGCTCTGGGGGCCTCTTCCAGGAGGGACGCAGCCTCCCGCCTCTGCTGGCCTCATCCTCAGCTCTGGAAGCCTCCTGGCTCCATGTTTAACAGCCCCCTCTTGCCTGGTTTCTTCCATTAAAAAAATCGCTCTCTAGAAAACACCCCAAATCCCCAGGGAGAGCTCTGATGGCTGCTTTTGTCTCCAAGGCAACACGACTTCCTCGATGAATGAAAGTATTTCCCGCCCGCTTGCCCAGGTGGGAGCTGTTGGGTGGGTGCTGAGTCTGTCCTTGCTGTGTGCCGGGGAATTGCGCGCCTCCAGAACTTCCCTGAGGATCTGTTTCCACTTGCTGGCCCACGGCCCTCCCTGAGCTACTTGTCATTGTCACTCGTTCATTTACAGAGGACTTGCCACGCTGCCTGCCAAGGTGCAGATGTGTGTGGCTTAGCCCGTGTAAAGCAAGTGCCCGTGTGGGCACTCGGGTAAAGAAAGCGAAGCTTCCCAGCACTCCAGAGCTTGCTCTTTCTCGTCCTTCAGCCCCTTCCCCCAAGAGTCCACCGTCTCAATTTTTAGGCCAGTCGAGGTGGCACATGCCTGTAATTTCTGCCCTGAGGAGGCTGAGGCAGGAAGATCACTGTGAGTGTGAGGGCAGCCTGGGCTACATCACGAGTTTAGTGTGTTGAAGACTCAGTTGAACTACATAGTGAGACCCTGTCTCAACCAACAAACAAAAAACAATAAACAAAGACATCGTCTCAACTTTTATCGTGACTTTTGTAATTTACTAGCTTTTCTGGGTGGTTCTACCTTTCCACGAACCCTGAACAAAAATGCAGCGTGGTTTTGCCTGGTTTTGAACTTTATACGAACGAAGCCACCCTGTCTCTCTCGCCTGCTGCTTCTCTAGAGGTTTGTGGGGCTCACTGAAGTCGTGCGTAGCTGTGATGTGTGCATTTGCACGGACAGGGACAACCAGTCTCACGAATGTTAGGAGTTCGGGAGTTCTCAGTAGGAGACGCCCCGAGGTTCTGTCTGTGGATCTCCGTGGAGACTCGGTGGAGTGCGGCTGCTCGTCACAGCCCCTCGGGTGGGCTTACAGGGACGGTGCTGAGTTTTATCAAATGTACATCAAGGCGGTCACCCTTCTGCTCCAAACCCTGGAGCCATCTTCCTCTTCTCCCAGGAGACAAAACCTTGACGGTGGCCCCCGAGGGACCTGAGTGCCAACCCTGGTTCTAAGTAGACCTGCTCCACACCCCGCCCTTCCTGTCCCAGGCCGCACGCTCTACTGCTTAGTCCTTTGGCCGGGCCCTGCCCCAGGGCCTTTGCACTGTGGTGTCTCTGCCCGGAGCTCCCTTCCTGAGATGTCTGCACAGACTCCACCTTTGGCTTCCTGCTTGGAAGTCTCCCTGAAGCCTCGGTGACAGCCCTGTCTAAAATGTCACCTCCCCGCCAGCGTCTCACACCTCTGCCCTCCTGAGCTGGCTCTCTCCATCTTACTCGGGTTTCTTGCTTTCCAAGCCTGATCCGAGCATGACGAGAGCACGGTGCCTGCCAGCCTGTGTGCCCATTCGCCTGCCCTGGGGCTGCGGCAGTAGAAGACGAGCCGCTGGGGCACACATCTGTGGGAGGAAGACAGACAGACAGACAGACAGACAGACGCCCCTCCCTCCCAGCTCTCCGCTCCAGCTCCTGCGCTAGTGTTCTTTTCTTTTTCCTGTGTTATGGCGGAACTCCTCAGACGTCTACACCCACGTGCCTGCAGTCTCCCTGCCTTATGACTACCTGTCGTCCCCACCCAGGCCTGCTCGCTGCTCTAAGAAAACCGTACGGGGCCTGTGAACCTTGTGTGGCCAAATCAGACGGTTGCGCTGGTCCTCCGCAGCCTGGGCCCAGGGCTGTGGGCGGGCGGTCACCCTTCGTCCCATGCCCCGTGCCTGCTCCACGGAGGGCACGCTCTGTGGGCCTTCCGGCCTGGACAGCGCCCGGATGTTGGGCCTTGTGGTCCAGGTGTTCACAGCACACCCTCCCGCCACAGGAAAGCGCCAGTGGCCATTGTGCGTGGGGAGAAGCGGGGATCACGGGGTGTGAACAGCAGGACTCCGCACACAGGACACCGACGGCGGTCCACACTGCAGGTGCAGGGGCCGGGGAGGACCCCGAGGGCTCCGCGGTGCAGGTGACGCCGGTGCCGAGCAGCGGGAACTTGGGGGGGGCCTTTGTGCTGTGCACTTAGGGTGTGCACGTCCTGCTGTGCGCTCGCTTAAATCAGCTCGAGGAGCGCTCACCCGCCCCGCCTGCGCCCTCCAGCCCCTCTGTTCACTGCACGTCTCCTGAGCTGCCTGCTCCCAACAGAGCGGTCTTCTTCCAGGTCCCCAGCTTGACCACCCTACACCCCAACCCTGCGGCGGCTTCTCACGTCCGCCAGTGTGACCCCCAAGTCTGGACCACGGCGAAGAGACGGTGATGGAGCCGGTGCGCAGCCGTGCCTGGGTCCGGGGGGGCGGGGGAAGCCCCGCCTGGGCGCCCCGGGGGGCTGCTCGTTTCCCATCTCCCACTCACTCCTCCCTGTCGCCCCGTCCTTTCCTTTAAAATGGGCTTACTTAGCAGGGGGAGCAGTCACTCGTTAAAGTGTCTAAAGGTTCCACTGAATATGATCAGGGACCGAACTTCTAAAAAATTTAGCTAGATGTGGTGGCCCACACCTGTCTTCCCAGCACTCAGAAGGCAGAGGCAGGAGGGTCACTGCTTGTTTGAGCCAGCCCGGACTCCACAGTGAGTTCAAGACCAGCCTGAGCTACATAACAGACTCTGTCACAAAAAGGAAAAAAAAAAGAGAAAAGAAAAGATTTATCATTTATAGGTGCAGAAACACCGTGGGAGGCTTTCAAACATGTTCTACAAGCAAGGAAAATGACGGGAAGGCATTCAGTAACACATCAGCTGGCAGGAACTGCGCAAAGATGGAAGACAGGGCCTCGTGACCTCCCTCAGTCAGGCCCCAGGCAGCCCTGGGTGGCGCATGCCTCTTGAAAGGGACCCCGGGGCTGGCAGGCCAGCAGCCCGGCAGGTGAGGCACTGTCCTGTTTGAACTCTCCAAGTGCTGTCACCCTCGCGTGCAGCCCTGGGCGGGGTGTGAGCTTGGGCGGGGCGGCCCCTGTGAGCCACGATCCGGTCCTAGCCAGCTGCCTGGCCGGGTAATGGTGATTACTAAGCACACAGCTGCAGTCAAGGCCGGGCCAAGGCAGGCGAGTCCAATGGTGAAGGTCCTGCAAGCTGCCCTTAGGTCTGGGAGGCCACTGTGTACGCAGAGAGCAGGAGATAGAGCAGGCCAAGGCCACGGCTTCTCGGGGCCTCCTCCCCGCGGGCCCGACCGAGCAGGGACAGCACGTGGACGAGCGTCCTTCACAGCCTCAGGAGGAGGCAGGCTCCATCGTCTCGCTAGCCTCGGAAACGGCACTCGGCAAAGTTCAGCACAGTCGCGGCCACTCGGTTTGAAAGACGGGGTCTCGCTGTGTTGTCGCGAGGGCCCCAGACTCCCGGGCTTCTCTGGTCCTCTTGCCTCGGCCTCCCACGTAGCTGGTGCCACGGGCGTGCACGAACCCATTTAAAAAATTGATGAAAGCTTTTAGTGAACTAGGAATAGAAAAGAACTTCTGACTCTGATAGACAATATTGCAAACAGCATCCTGACTGTTAAATTATGCAGCTTCCCCCCTTTCAGGGTCAGGGCACGGACATGCTCTCCTGCCCCTTCTATGAGATGGTGGGCTGGAAGTCCCAGACTGC